CTCTTCCAAATCCTCTGCGCAGCTCCTAAACCACTGACAAAAACGAGGAAAGATGCCCTGAAAACCAGCCTTTCGATTATTCATGAAACCTCTAAGTAAACGGGAAACTGTGCCTCCACGTCAAGCCGCAGTGCATAGAAAGCAGGGTGCCACAGCACAAGCTCATGCTACAGGAGATCTCCATCTCCAGCAGACTCCCTTCGGCTACCCTCTGCAAGACGTATGTTTGTCAAAATTAATTTGGAATACACAAGACGCACTGGTTTGTCTCCCTGCTTTACAGTGGCCCTTCACGCAGGTACACGCTGCAGCACGGCAATAGCTTCCCTCCCTCTCTGCAGTGCCATGTCACCCACGACCTGCCAAAGCGTGCCCGTCTCATGGTGTGATGCCCGCGTGCGAGCAGGCAGCGGCCAGAGGCAGAGCCCCGCCGGCAGACCAGCCCCGGGCAGCTCCCGCCCCATTCCATCCCATCCCATCCCATCCCACCCCACCCCGGGGCGCAGTGCATCGGACAAGGGCAAGGCCCAAATACAGCCCTCCTTGGTGACATGCAGGTTTTTGGAGCAAAGCTCCAGAAAGCACTTCCATGTAGCTCTACGTGGTTTGGTAACGTCTCCGTTTTCCCAGCCTGATATTCTGCTGCCTACTGTGGGGGCAGAGGGAAGGCCATAAGGAGGGCAGCTGCAAAAATCTGCATGTTTCCCTCTGAAGTGAGTGGATGCTAAATATACTTGGAGAGAGAGTTACTCTAAAACAGCAAATTAAAAGGCCTAAATAAGAAATTCCAAACAAAAGAAAAACCTTTGAATGGTAATGAATAAGTAAATAGAAAATTACTGGGCACAAAGTGGAAAATAAGACAATTTTATGGGCTATTTCCTTACTATGCCAGTAAGAAGTCAAATAAATTAAAAAAAATAGTCTTCAACACAAAAAGATGTGTCTAGTTTTAAAATATTTGCCTGCCACAATTGTTGCCATTTATCAAAAAACAAACCAGTAAACAAAATACTGTGACACGGAAAGAGAACACTTCTGCCCAGACAAAAGAACCAACTTGGCCTAAGTACCATCCCATACTTAAAAAATAGACAAAAAAAAACCCGAACCAGCCACCCACCCACAACCCAAAGTCACTCCCCCCAAACCGAGTTACTTGGCTTTGTCTACTTAAAAGCAAGCAGCCGACCCACCGGCCTTCCTGGGAGCATTTCCCTCTCTAGTCAGTGGAAAGGGCTTTAAATGTCGTATTCCAGTTGGGACTCTTTCCATATATTTATATACATGGACATCTCGTGTATGTTCTCTTTCGCAGCAGGGAGGGTTCATATAACCTAGAACAGCCTCTGTCACTTTAATTTTTATTCTCAGAATAGTGCTATTTATGACACCGCTTGTAAGAGTTGTGTGATTCAGTTATCGGCACAACTGAATTAATTTCCTTAGGGTCAATTGTCTTCTGTGGATATTAGGGTTTAAAGAATATTGAAAGGGAGCTGGCAGGGGAATTTTCAGCATTTTGGTTTTCGTACATCCTCAGAATTCAGCGCTGCTACTTTTTTTTTTATATAAATCTCAATGAGAGTATCTGGTAATCAACAGGAGCCAAATTTCATGAGAGAATTTTTGCTGTCCTTGCAGTTTTACAGTGGGTAGAAATCAACCTTTACCAACACTTTTCTTACACTGTTAATTCCCGCAGTCCTTTCTCAAAAAAGGCCTTCCAGAACTGAAGACAGGTTTGTAAATGTATTTTTATTATGTTGCAACAATCAAAATATATATGTACTACTGATTTTCCCCAAAAAATATTAAATGAAAATGTAATACATTTTTTCCCACATTGTGTTCTTGAATGCTGTGGAATCTGTAAAGACCCTGACATAAAGAAACCGAAGCAACTGCACAATTAGAGACTGAAAGGTGTTAACAGTGCTGCACTTACATTACAAACGAAGTCAGATGTCTCTGTTTAACCAAATATAGCCTCAACAGTCTCTGTTTTGTGAGTATTAGAAACAATAAACAAATATACACAGAAAGCATCACAAACAGTAAATTGGTTATTTAAATACAACTGTATCCAACATAGCAGCTAAACACTGGACAATGTTTGAGGTCATCAGCACATCCACATGCTCTTCTAAATGACGTTTGGGGTCCTGAAATACAAAGCATGCCATGAGAGAAACGACTGAAACATATCTCTGAAGGATTTCATTTACTTCAGGTCTATTTCAGATGACTGTCAGTTAAGGAACACATGCCAGCAATGCTCCTAAATTTTCCATTCTAACAAGACCTAGCAAACGACCGAATTTCCATGAGTAAGATTTTATTAGTCCATACTATCAATCAGAGAAGTTGAGGATAGGTTTAGGAAGTTAATTTCTATCCAGCATCTGAAGAGTAACCATGACAGCTGTGAGTTCTAAGGCCAACACACAATATGTGGAATTTACTATGTGTCTCACTGAGGCCAATATTTTAATCTTGGTTCTGGTACACTGCAATTTGTTTTCAGATCTCTGTACAAATGTGTGTTCTAATCCTGTAAAGACTCAAACATGATCTAACACAGTCTTTGAATAGTTGTGTTGACTGCAAGAAAATTAGCATATTTATACCCATAAAAAAATAAAGAAAAAATGCACAACGCTATGTTCAAATGTTCTGAAAAACTGAATGTTAAGCCTGAGCAGTGTTCTGAAAATACACATCCCCACACACTATTACTCAATTGATGTGGGCATTTGTGGGCATCTGCATAGAACAATAAAATTATTTCTAGTTGAAAATCACACTCGTGCACTTCTTCAGTTTAAGAATTGAGATTAAGCAATTAATCTCCAAATACTGCAAAATTATCAGGCACATTTAAAGAACATCTCTAAGCTTTATTGTAGTATTATTGTAGCATTCCTGTGTGTAAAGACATTAGAATATGGAAGACAATAATGTGTGGGAATGTTAACTTTTTTAAAAAAGAATTATTGTCAAAATCTAATGAACCAATGTAAGTTTACATAAAAGTGTACTAGAAAACCTGTCTCAGCTGTCCTTCTTAAATAACTAATTTTCAAAGATCACACAGTTCTCCAATATTCTCTGCCCTCCTAGCAAATTATGCACCCTAATAAC